ATATATATATATATATATATATATATATATATATACTGCATTGCTGTGAGTTTGTAATGCAAGTTTTTCTTTGGCTTAGGGTAAAAATTCTTTTCGATTGCAAGATTATTTGAGGAAATTGCTTAAAAATATCTTCCTCTGTCATGGCTGTAGACCTGATCATTGATTCTCAGGTTGTCCAATTTTCCAAAAATTTTCAAAATGTTTTCCTAAAGGCTAATTTAGCATGTTACAGCTCCACACTTAATCCTTTAACTGGATTCTGTATTTCTTCTTCAATTTATCAGTACATCTTGCATTTGCATAAAAATCAAATTACATTCCTTGGTGAAACATCAGTATCTCTACTTTGACTATGAGAGCTGTTCTAGTTTCTTTTTCGTACTACTGACTGAACTAGAGAAATAACTTTTCCACTATGCTGCTTAGTTACTACATAAATCTATTTTTTTCGTAATCATCCATTTTCTAAAAATAACAAAAATGAAGAACTGTGATAAAAACTAGCAATTGCTGGTAGACCAGGCTCTACATCAATTACCTAAACACTGAATAAATACAGTCTCAGATAAAGAACACTGAATTTTGCTAAATGTGCAGTTTGAGAACTTCTTCTGATTGAGCAATATGTGCTGGATGCTTTGTGGTATTTTGAAATCTAATTTTATTAACTGAAAATATCTATAATGAATATATACAAACTAAGGCATAGATTAGGATAGATTAGGTATTTTTTTATTTATGTTCTTAGAATGATGTCAAAAGAACAACAGCAAAAATTTAGAGCAGCATACAGTGGTACCTTAAGATAACTGGAATCCTTACGATAACTGCAGTATCTTTAAAAATGCTTCACATTTTTATTATTGTATGGTATTTGTATTCAAGAATCCTACCTTTTTTCCTTATATAAGTAAACCTATAATTTTGTGAATCATTTATCCAAAAATGCAAAGAGAACAAATACATTCAATATTTCTTAATTAACACCTGACTAGTTTGGGGTTTTTTTTTGTAATATAAACATGCCATTCCCTTCTATCAGTTTTTATCTTCAATAACGTATGAAAGATCCAAAATCAAATTGGCTGTCTCCACAGCCACCTGTAGGCCACTAAGCTTAGCAGTGAAACAGTCCAAGGTCAGGCTGTCGGCTGAGCCTGGAGCTTCACGTGGATAGCACGGTTGTGGTGCAAAGGGCTGCCGAGCGCTCCTTAAGAAAGACCAGCTGAGTTCTTCCCGGCTGCTGTGCAGTCCGCAGCCGCATTTTGAAAGCAAATCTGGCCAGTTAGCAACAGAGGGAGAATCTGCCTGAACTGACCAAAAGTGTCCATACTTCATGTCAGTGAGAATTTCACCTCCATCATGTTCTAAAGAGCCAGTGAGAGATTCCAGCGCACTGCAAAATGCTTCAGTAATTAGTCGAAGTTCTGTTTGAGTACACCCACCATCTTTCAGAATGCTTTCTGGGTCATTAAAGGTCTAAAGAGTAATGAAACAATTAAAAACATATACAGAGCAATTAATGTTATAAAAATGTTTCTGAAAAAGAGAATACTTGATAAAACCCTTATTCACAAAGGTACTATTAACTTTCAATTTACTTAGGGGTTTGGCACAATGCTAGTGGGCATATATGAGTCAGCTGGCCAGGCTATAATGCCATCGCCTGGTTGTTTATAATAAAAATGTATGTTGCCAGTCATGTTATCAGGATGAATAAATCAGAATAAACCACATAATCAATGTATTCTGAATGACTGCCCACTAGTGCCTCCCTGATATATGAAAAAAAGGCATAATGCTTATATTATAGTTACTATACACAGGAAGAATTCCTGAAGTCTAATGTCCAAACGAAGTATTTATATTTGGCAAAATGTTTGAGAGTTGTTTAAAATGAGAACATGCATATTACTAAGATAAAATCCATTTAGGAATGTGTGCAATTTTTACATTAATGTTTCTAAAATATTCTTTTTTTTAAATTAAAATGACTTTAAATTGTTTTTTGGTTCCACCATGCTAAAAAATTTATTCCAGAAATTCCATGAAAGAAAAAAAAGTAATATACTGGCAAACTAATAACTGAATGATTGTTAAAAATCCATACCCTAACTACTTAAAAACAGTTACCACATTTTTTTCTTTTTTACCCAGGAGGTTTGAACCAGATGAGATCATCTCTAATGCATATTATTTTCCCATAATTTAAAAAAAAACTTTAAAAAAATATGTTCTTTATTGGTTTTAGAGAGAGAGGAAGGGAGAAAGAGAGAGAGAAATATCGACATGAGAAACATCGATTGGTTGCGTTCCATACATGCCCGGCTGGGGATCGAACCTGAAACCTGGGCATATGCCCTGACTGGAAATTGGACCTGGGACCCTTTGGTGCTGGAACAACGCTCCAACCAACTGATCCACACCAACTAGGGCACCCATATTTTCACTGCTGTATTGTTTCCTCAAAATCCTACTCAAGATACCTCCCTCCTTCAAAGAACTTTTCCTAGTTTACTCAGTCCCATTTGCAGACTATATTATTGTCTATTCAGCATTCAGAGGTTGGCACTGATTTTGTTTCCCATAATAGATATTCTGATAACTTTTCATGAATGGGCTTTATCATCACATAGATTTTAAATTATTTGATGAAGTAGTATGGGGCTTGTCTATAAAAAACGTTTATACTCTCTCCAGTCCCAGTCATCCACTAGAAGCTCTGCAGTCTCTTGATAACACTCCTGACCAACCAAAGAATCAACTGCAAATATCTAAAAAACACATAGCTGTTTGTATCCACTTTCAAATAAAGTAGGTCAGTATACATGAAATAATTAGTCAAAACTGTAATGCACTAAATTTATCTATTGTTACGAAATGGTTTCCTAGATTAATAAAAAAGATTCTTTTTGACAGAAAAAATATTTATCATAAATGGATACCAGTTTAAAAATTATAATAGAATGTAATATTTGGAATGCTTTAAAAAATAAAATTAAGTCTTTTCTTGATGATCCAGAAAGTATTGAAGTATTTTGCAAAATTTTAACACTTTCCTTGTGAATATCAATTACTATTATACACAGCAGTTGGGATCTCTAACATGACAACTCCCATTAACATTTCAACATGCAATATTTAGATAACACCCAAAGAAAGTGATCATTTGGTAATAGGTTATATTAATAATAATAATTGTGATAAAGATATTACCTTATATTTGCAAGTGCTATTTTCCTCAAGTGTTTTCCAATACAATATCTAATACAGACTACAGAGAAATTAAGCGTTAAAGGCTCCAGGGTATTCTGGTTTGGCTTATCTCCTAAGATGAATACTGCTGAGAACTGAGAAAATCTGAGAAGGACTATCAAACCTACCTTGTGTCTGATATATGCTGCCAAGTGAGTTTCAGTACAGCCACCTCCCAACAAAACACAGGGTTCCTTGATTGTTAACTGCAAAACATGCAGTGCTGTCTGACATGTGAGCTGCAAGACAAAGAAATCATTAAAATCAGACAGTGACATCAGATACACAAAGAAATATAGCCATGTTCTCAAGGCAACTTAAATAGTAAACTCAGAGTCTGATTTCAACTGCAAAAGAACAAAACCTGTGTTTCCAAGGTTATAATGTAATGAGTACATTTTGGAATAATAAAGATTAGAAATTAAAGAAAAACATCTTAGCCAAATGTTTGTTTTCATGGACTAGATTAATATCGTCTTTCATATATATACTTAGCTCTGCAAATTGAGATTCACAAATGAATCAGTTTAGTCTAAATAAATTAGCTGAATAACTCATACAAAATTTATTTCAAGTTGCTATGGAAATAATACAGCTACAACCCAGCAGTAATAAAAAACCACAACACATAGACCTTTAATATTTACCAAGGCTATAACCTTGAGCATACATGAATCTTCAAGCTTGTGACCAACAGCATAGGTTAGCACTTTCCTTGTGGTGCATGTGTTATTGCTGGCAGAGAACACCAAACTCTATTAAGAGGTGGATGATGGGTATTCCTGGGGAACTCATTATCTAAGTGAATTATTCATACACATTTAGCATCAAAGAGGACATAATTCAAGTTAATTTCTTAAGGAAAGGTCATATGTTAAGGACTTTTAGATTATTTATAAATACTAGAAATAATAAATGGTAACATATGCCAGGTCGACAGTAGTGTCTACTTGTGACTTTAGTTCTCTCATTTTTATTGTTTTTGCTCTCTATACCACATAGGGAAGTTATGGGGGGAGAAAAGCACAGCTCACCCATGTGAAAAAAATTACACCTTTCTGAATAACTATTTAATCCCTGCCTCAGCCCCTAGATATGGAAGTCAAAGTTCATTACCTACCTTCAGCTCATCCCAGACAGTGTCATTTCTGTTGCAGAGAAGCAAGCTGCAGACAGTTGCTTCATTTGGAATGAGATGAAAAAACCACTTGGAGCCAAATTTTGCAGTGGACCAATCCTTCACACTTCCATAACTACTAGGAGAGATTGAGCTGAGAGAACCAATAGGCTGTGTTCCTATTTTTTAAAGTTTAGAAAACACAAAACATATGAGTAAAGATGGAATATACAATCACTTAAAATGATAATATTTTTTTCCTAGCCAATGTAAGCCCCACAAGCATATCATTTAAAATATGACATACAGGATAAAGAACAAGATACATCTTCTTAGACCTAAGAAATAAGCAGTATTCTGCTATTAAAACAATATACAAATGAAGTAAAGCTGAGGTTCTTTTAGTTCATGGACTTCTTAGAACATACTTCTGAAGCTATTTTGTACTCTCTAGAAAAAGGAACACAAAATTTTGCATACATTTTCTGAGAGTCCAGAAACTCTGGAAGCCCATTCACCGATTACAGATCCAAAATAAGAACCCCACTAATCTGAATAGGGTGAAAGCACAGACTATTGTTTTTAAAAGGCATTATCATCTTTACCTTAAAACACACAAATTAACCTATCCAAATAGCTGTATTGGGCTCTACTTAGTGTACAGATTTTTTAATTTATTTTTTGCCTAGCAACTGTTTATATGTAAACAGCTTCCTAAATTATGTAAAAATAAAATACGTAACATTCGAATTGCATTTGTCATTCTTTGATATATTATTTTGCCTGTCCTCCTGCACAGGTAAAATTTTACAAAATACAAGTTAATAAAAATAGAATAAGCTAGGACTGGAAGGTTCCAAAATCTCTAAAATGTAGTGGAAGTTACATAAGAAATGACACCAAACTCCTATAAGAAATAACAAAGCAAGTCTGAAGTCTTAACCTTAAAACTGTAACTGAGCAATGGACTCCTTGGGGCCAGTTTCCTCCCTCACACCAACGAAGTTAAAACAATAACGTCTAGAACGTTTCCAGCTCAAAAAATTTATAAGAGACCAGAAAATAATCACTGAGCAACTTCACTTCTTTGAATATCCTTTCTTCAAGACTTCTGAAGCTTCAAAGAATAAAGAATACTTGAGTGATCTAAAATTTAAGGGAAAATCAAAAGCCTACATCTTGTATAATTTCACTTGGTGTACACGACAATCTATAGTGAGAGGATCTGACTTTATTGCTTATCAGCTACTGGATGTGGAATAAGTCACTCATGCCACTTTTCAGGGTGGGCTTCCCCATGAGTTAAAATGGGAATAATGTCTACTTCACAAATAAACCGAATGTTAAAAATGCTTTGTAAGCCATAACAAGCTTCACACACACATCACCCATGCAGTGAGTCCACTACCTGCCCCATGCATAATCACTCCACTATTCAACCCAGACCATCAATAAAGAGGAATTTTGTTAGAGTGGGAGAAAGAAGGTAACATTAACCAAGATATACCCTGGAAGATGAATTAGCCCAAAACATATTTTACCTTTGTCTCAAAAGATCTCTTATCCTGAGACCTAGGACTAAAGCTCTAGCTATTAATACTATGTTCTAATTGCATGTGGGATAAATAACAACTGTGGACTGATGTGGAAACTCAATGCCCACTTATATTGTTTTTATGGGAAAATGCTTCATACTGACTAATCTGTAATAACTAATATTCATAACAGAAATTACCTGATTCATGAAAAGCCAGCAAATATTTAAGTATGTGAGTTTGACCCATATCAACAATGAATTAGAGAATTATTTTCATTATTTAATAATTTCCTCTTTGACAATCATTTGACAGTCCTACAAAGATAGGGCAGTAACCCAGAGATGTTATGTATTCAATACTTGACGTGCATAGTACTTTTTTGATGATTTAAAATGAGAAAAATTAGTGAACTTTAACAATGGTTTACCTAATAACTTAAAAATTACAATCAATCAGAATGAAATGACCATGTTTCTGACTGAGTGTTAATGCAGTTAAGGAATATTAAAAAGTAGCTCAAATCAGGAAATCTTCAGTTTGTTGTTATTCTTTGGCTCTAATAGGTAAATGTCAATCTCACATCTGCTTTTAATTTACTGAGTTTGTGAAATACAGTGAATTTTTGCCTATTATTTCTTTGTTACTAACATTTTAGAACACCTACTGTGTATCAGGCCTGCTGTAAGCTCTGAAAATAAAAGATGTTCCTGCTTCTCAAGCTCAGCTGGAAATATTTTAAACTAGAACAACACACACACACTGACATCACAGTGTGACACATACATCCTTAATTAGGAATCACTATTTAGGCAGAAGTACAGTTGTTTGCTGGAGTTATATAAGAGTAAAGAAAAGGGAATATTCTAGCTGCAAAATTACCTTCTGAATTATATGACTTAAGAGCTTTGTAAAACTCAAGTAGAATAATTTTGTGTAAGGTGTGAAAGACCTTATGATTATGAGGATGTTAGTCTTCCCAGTTACCTGTAATATATTTGAGTGAAGTTTTAGACTATGACAGAATGTAGTACATTTTAGACCTGGCAATACACAGAAAACAGCCATAATCGCTCAGTCTTTAATAAGTGCATAATACAGGATCTTTTTCAGAAATGCTTGCTGCCAGAAATTATAGTCACATATGCTGTGAGGTTGGCGGCTTCTAAAATTTTTCAAGATGTTAACATTGACACACACCAAGAATATCTCTGCTCAAAAAAAGTGTGATTTATTAACTCTAAGGGGCAAAAGCTGAGTGTTTTTACCTGTCACTTTACTCAAGGGTTCCATCAGAGCCACTCCAACTCTGTCTATGGCAATAACACGATGCATGCTGAGAAGCTGTTTCAGAGATGGGTGTATAACTTTTTGGCACAAGACAAGATCTATGTGATCACTAACTAGCTGCCTTCCTAGGTTAAGCAACGGGTCCAGAACTGCATTTTCAAGAGAAACCCCATAATTGACCACCACAGTTCCTTCTCCAGTATCAGAAAGGTCTCCAGATAAAGACACACAAAAGAGTGCCACCTTGAGGGAATCTGATTTTTTGATAGGCAGTATCTTCCTCAGCTGAACTTCTGACATTTCAATAAGTATGCCAGGCAACACAGTAGAGTCTAGAACTCTTTGACCCTTTAAAGGTACAATTATACTCCTTCCTAAAATGATGTGGTCTTCAGTGTTTTCTGGAATTGTAAGCAAAAAGGCTCTCAGAATCAGAGTACTGATGTGGTCTATTTCCTTTCTGGTGAGCATACAGGCAGGCTTACTTGTTAATATACTGCATACCAAACAAAGGAGGGTCTGAGTACTACTAAAGTCAACTGGGATTCGACAACCACAGACCTCAGACTTGAGGTAACTGGTGCAGAGGCTCAAAAGTTGCTTATTTAATTTAATGACAGTGGTGGGTGTCAAGTCTAGTCTCTGAACATTTTCAATCAGGTTGCAGCAAAGAATGGCTGTGAACAAACCACAATCACTGAAGCACGAAACATGATTCTGCACGGAAGTTGTTAGGATCTTTAAAATGGGGTGAGTGACGGAAAGGTTGGCGAGCAGGGCTGACGACTGTGAGGTTGTGCACACAGAGCCTCCAAGGCTGTTGTGTAGTTGCTTTAGCCTCCCAGAAGGGCCATAGCATGAGGTTATGATTCCTTTCAAGACAGAAAGGGTGGCCCTGACTCTCTCACTTGTCAGTGGTTCACTTTTACACAGTGATGGCTTTTTAGCTTCCAAACGAGACATCTCACTTCAGGTGGTAATTTGTGAAGATAGCTTTTATTTTGTTAACCATAGTTTTCTATTTAACATTTTAAAAAAGTATTCTTCAGGAATGACAGTCTGAATACGCAGCATTGTGGTTATAAAATTAAATAGCTTCATGTTTATGAAGCTAATCAGCATGTAATGATTTAATGACATATTAGTAATTCCAAATTTTAATTTTACTTCATTCTCTGATACTCTTTTGTTTGTCTCCAGACTGAGATTTTACAGACTGTTTTGCAGCCCTCTGTATAAAGTATGTTCCAAGATGGACACCTATGAAAGAAACCCCAGCTACAAGAAGCCAGTTCTTTCTAATCCAACTGGTGTTTTTCATTTCTTCTTTCAATATCAAGCTCAGATTCAAAGCTGCTTCTTTCTATAGGAAATAAAAATAAAACATTTTAGAGAAATAATTCCAAAACATCTTATAGACTGCAGTTTAATAATTTATTTTAATGCTCTGCTCCCTCTTTAGAGAAAGAAACTACTAACTGGCACAGCCTCAAGAAAATGAGAAATGTAAATCAACTTAGACTAAACATTCATTCCTTTATTCTTCAATGAATCCCTACAAGAAAAAGTGCTGACATTTCAATGATTTTGGAAGGCACAACAACACAGCTAGAAAGCTCACAGTACAGTTACTTGAATATGATATGCTTCTAGAAGAGAAATGCTACATTACAAAACTCATAGAACTTGGTCTGAGTTCTAAAGAAGTCCCAAGTGTTCTTATTGTTATATCAAGATCTAATGTGAGGGTTTTTCCTTATTACTTTGGTTTGCTTGGAAACCTTAGGTCTCAAAAGAAGTACATTTATATCAAATCCTGCTTATTAATACCTATGAAAACAAGGTAACTGTTAGTATTCCTACTGCAGAGACTCCAATGTATAGTTGATGTTTAGCTGTAGAAGTTTTACAGCACACTGAATCAAAGAACAAACCATGTTTTAAATATCTGGCTACAGTCAGAGCTAATTTTCTGTAGTTTTACCCTATCAATCAGTGATTTTCAGTTTTGATGTCCTACAACTAATCCTCCCCACATCTTCTGGCTACTAATATCTTTATAAAATGAGAAAGAAAGAAATCATTGAAAGTGTTGGTGACTCTCAAAAATAACAAATTATTTTGAAGCTAAAACATTAGATACTAAGGAATGAATACAATTAGTTTTGTTTTGGAAAAAACAGGATAATAATAAAGAAAAGAACCTTTTGCAAGTTACAGATTTGCATGCTCTGGAATGGATTTATGGAAAGGAGTCAACTGCTCTTTTGTATACATTCAAGATCTTGGTGACACTGCTAGCGAAAAGGACAGGACAAGTAATGGACTGAATGTCCTTTCTCTTTTCATCCAAATGGATCTGCTAGGTAAGTAGCAAGTCTCTGTGGAAGAAACTTTTCTAGAAGCAACTACAGAATAATATTTTGACTGTGGATAATAAAATCAACAGGTAACTTACCAATTTCGGCTCTTTTTGTCAGAATTCTATACGTTTTAAAAGATAAGGTTTCCCATTGTTGGAACATACCATTTTGCAGGAACACACTATTTGGTTACAGATTAAATCAACTTACCTGAAGAATGCAATCCTGCTACTTCTTTTGGATGTGGTCCTTCTGAAGACTTGCAAGTGCCAGACTATCTGGCTCAGGAACGTTGTCCTTGCTAGGTACTTGGAAAACAGGGCTGCTTTTGATTCTGTGCCACCCCAAATGTATGAGCCCAATTAAAGGTACCATAACAACCAGAACTTTGTAGTCTCTCCAGAAGCTCTGAAAGCTCATAGTACTTCAGCATCAGTGAACCTAAGAAAAGGTAACAGTTAAAAGCGAAAGAACAAACAAAAATAATCCTTCAAATTACATCTATAAACCACCACAAGCAGAATATTGCACTCTAATAAAAGCTGACTGTTAAAACATTTGTAGTTACAATATACTATAATGTTAATTAACTTTTGAGATATGTTATAGATCTAAAGAGATAGCAGGAAGTTAGGCTTGGGAAACCTATAAAGCATTACTAAACTTTTAGTCAACAATTGTAAAGGAGCACCATTACCTGCTGGGAGAGTTATATCAATCTTTTCAGTCACTCATGCATGAATATAATTTTTTTTTATAAAATTTCCTTAAATATGCAATAAAAATTTAGATTCTATGTTTTGACAGGATTAAGTGATGGTGTTTCAACTGAGACTGGGACAGTCATTCATGGATTCCAACTGCAGTCAAAAAATTATGGCTTGAACTCTATGAACTAGGATGAATTAATACCATTTCCACATTTATGTGAGGAACAACTGCATTTTAGACTGTTTACCCTTATTAGTAATAACTCTCCCCTACAGGGGTTACTGTTAACTCCATTTACATGAAGAAATTGGGGCTAGTAAATTGCTTGAAGTTATAAAGCTAGTTAGTATTGAAAAGAGATTTTTTGTCTGCCTTTGATTTGGAAAGTGTGGAGCAAGGCCCTGGAAGTCTGTTTCTGATGATCAGTTGGCTTTGGGAACTTGAGTCTAGACCTCTAAAGACTCCTTATACTTTTCTACTTCAGGGACACTCATGAGGCTTTAGTGATTAGCTTACAAACTTGTGAAGATAAGGGACCACTTTCCAAGTTATTTTCTGAGCACAGAACAATAAGGATTGCTTCATCTTCTATGGGATATATCAAGAATTGGGTTCAATTGCATGCATATGAGTTTTGGTATCAAGAAATCCCTTATAGTAATTTTGTGTGAATACCATTAGAAAAATGTCTGAACACAATTTTTACTTATTCCTTCTCTTTAGTTAAGACTAAAATATAGTACGAATGAGCTAAATACCTGAACTGTCTTTGTGCTCTGTGAATATATATTAAAAATAATCAGAAAGCTTAGGAGTTAATATCGACATACATATATTATTCCCAGCATTAGAAACCATTTCTCCCCAAGGTCCATATTCATATTTTATAAGGACTTTGTTGCTCAACTTAAACTACTAGATGGAGAAAACATGGCCTACTTTGTAACTGGAAGTATTTTATGGCCTTTTCTTTTTCTATAGTACTTTAGTATCCTTCACACTTTGTGCAACCTTTAGAAACCATACCTTTTATTAACATGCTTATGTCCTATCTTTGGAGAAAGTCAATCACAAATAACTATCATGATTAAATTTCACTGAAGCCCACTATGCAAAAGCCTTTGGAGCACCTGAGATTTAAGGATAAATAATACAATTAGGGGAGGCACTGGGTGATTTGGAGAATAGAGGGAAGAACTATTGTAACGGTTACTTCCTAGAGGAAAGGAGGGACAGGTGCTACACCAAAGTCACTGGCTTGTGTCGAATGATATGTGGCATTTTTGTCTACAAAGTACCTTGAATTGAAGGTTTGAAAGATACTGTCATTCATATCTAGTCTCCTCAATACCTAAGGTGACTTTAGCATCTGTCACTCTCAACCTATGGCTATCAAGTCAAAGTACTTTTAATAGGTAGCATTTTTGTTAATCACGGTTCACTTCTCCATGATCACTAACAACTCAGTATTAGTTGAATATTGAGTTGAATTATAAACTTTTTCATGAATTATAAACTTTTAGGAAAGTTTCTAGAAAAGAAAGGCATTTTGATAAAAGGTTATAATAATAAAGTTGAGATACTCAATAACTAAAACGCAGAACAAACTAAACTACAATCTGTTAAAGCAATGTCTGGGAAAGTGATACTGTTTTCTCCATGTAAATCACAGTAATGTGATGTACTCTCAACCTTCCTGGAGAAGAGCCTCAGATTAGCTAACTCAAGTTAGCTCCCTGCACTCAACAAACCTTTGAGTCATTCATGGGTTAAAGGCAAAGGAGGCTTCCATTTTCTTTATGCTGTGTTTAACCGTCTATTCTTATTCATCGTAATAATGGATTAAGGATCTATGCATCTTTTTCTAGATTTAGGTTTAGTTAAGCCTGGGAATCAGCATCTATTTTGGTTGAAAACTCATTATTTGCCAAATATCACTGAGGCCTAGTAACACCACTTTCTGGTTAATAAATGATGTTGGGACTGATTTAATGATTACTTAAATGTTTACTCAATGCCCACAAGCCACCATTTCCTCAAATTCTCCATATCTCACATATTGATTTGGCTAATGGGGGTGAGAGAGCAGGTAATTATTTTCTGACGATTATACTGTTGTCCTTTGAGAGGCTTGGAAAATGATTAGGATCAGGGTGATGAAACTTTTTACTTTACAAAGTACTTTTAGAGTCTTCACTTTTAGCCCACATGAGTACACTGAGTTTTCACACCGTAACAGCCCATTTCCACCAAGCAAGATGGAATTAGAACTCTTAAAATAACATAGTAACCTTAATTTTATTTAGTTTCTTTCATTTAATAGCTTTCCAGCACATTACATGTATTCTATTGCCTAAATAACCAACTTCCCAGAACTAGACACAATGGACTCTGCTAAATAAGGCTTATTGTTAGTTTAAAAAAAAAAAGACAACAAAGGTTTGAAATTTGACATTTGATGTAGTCAGTGAGGTAATGTGTTCCTTGTTTTGTTCATATCCGCTTGTGCAGATTTTATTTATTTTATTATTATTTTATATATGTATATTTTTAATTTATTTTATTTTATATTATATTTTATTTTAATTTAATTCTTTTTAATCCTCACCCGAGGATATTTTTTCCATTGCTTTTCAAAGACAGTGGGGGAGAGAGAGAGAGAGAGAGAGAAAGAGGGAGAGAAACGTTGATGAGCGAGACAGACATAGATTGGTTGCCTTGACTGAGGCCAAGGATGGAGCCTGCAACCGAGGCACGTGCCCTTTGCAGGAATCGAACCTGGGACCCTTCAACCTGCCTCAGGCCAACACTCTAACCACTGAGCAAACCGGCAAGGGCATGTGGTGCTTTTTATACATTTTAGAGATACAATTTTGACTTAACTCCTTTTTTCTTTTCAATTCTTCTTAGAGATGTTTTTCAAAATGAACATTCGCATCACTGTCCTTTTCTAATAAATATAATACAGACTTACTTTTTAAAGTTAGAAAATATAGAAATAAGAAAAGAAAGCTAAACACATCTATAATCTTTTTGGTTGTAACAAAAATGTGATCATAATATACATGCTGTTTTGTAATCTTTTTTCCCAAGAATATAAATTTTCATTATGATTTTTAATAGCTGTACAGCTTTAGTGTATGGAGATATCTTAATATGACAGATCACTGATTGATAGAAATTTGAGATTTCTTTCCAGTGTTTTATTGCTAAATATGCTATGGCAATAAATGTTCTTGTAAACACTCCAGAGCCTAGGCTAAGAGCTTCTATATGTTGCTTCTAAGGACAATAGAAAGACCAACCTGATTTCTTACCAACTCATTTTTCAAATAAACTTACAAGGTTTTTAAAACCCTGACTCTTGCAAAGGTTCATGGTACTGAGCAGCAAGGAGACTGGGAAATCCAATGTAGGAATGGAAAGTTAAGCTAAATAGAATTTATCTTGAGATGGTACTTTCCCCAAAACACTTAGCAAGTCATTCAAAGTGGTATGGAACTATTTTAAAACAAACATTTCTCAAGGATGTGCTCAAAATGGTCAGACTTGATGAGCAGTGACAGGTTGGTCCCTAAGGTAAGTTAGTGCTTGTTGTTCATTCATTGGCTTTTTTTGGAGTAAAGCAGCAACAGAAATGACAGCAGGAAGATATTTTTCCTCTTCTTACCCTCCTGCAATATACCTGTGACTCCCCTTTCCTTATCTTTCCTGACTCTTCTTTAAATACACTCCTGAACAAACAAAAACAGAAGATATGGGACTCTTTTAGAAATATGGAGGAAACCCAAACAAATGAAATTAGTGAAATTTAGATAAGTAAAATAGGAAGTAGATACTTATGGTTTTATACATTGAAGTGCCTTTTGTTAAGTTTAGAAAATGTTAGAAGCAATCTTAACAAAGATTATGCTTTCTTCTACTCTTCTTTCAAAAATATATACCTTGCATTATTCAGAAGTTTAATACTTTTTATTTTGTTTTGTTTTCATAGCAATTTTATGAGACTGCTTTAGAAATGAGGCAATACTAAATGATTGATTCCAAGATTAATGCCAGTTAATTGTGGCTATCGACTTAGATTTCAGAGTCCTAAAGGTCTTGGCTGATATTCCATTAAGCAACTTTCAAAAGTTAACAATAAGTATCTCAGTCAGAATTCCCAGTGCATGACAGCGGACGAGAAGAAAATTCTAAGTGCATGGTGCTTGGTGCATGCTTGTGAGGGTCACTGAGGTCAACTCTCCAGTGCAGTAAGCCTGGCATGTCCTTCTGATTCTTATGTCAGGCATATAAGAGGTTAATTGTAATCTTGTGTCACTTTGTCCAAAATGAGAGGGGAAAAGAGTATTATCCTCCAAACATACATCTGAGACCTACGAATAATTGAGATTAGCTGGGCTAATTTTAGTTCAGTTTTCTTCAGCTTGGTTCTTAGTAAAGAATAAATAGCAAGAGATGAATGAACAGAATGGCGAGAAGCTTGTTATATCTCCACCTCACTGAAATATTGTAATCTTTTCGAGTACATATAAATATAAAGGCCAAGAAAGGAAAACACTGAGATACATGCTTCTGACCATAAATATTCTCTCAAGTTAAGTAAGGTATTACTGTGCCTAGAAAAGCAACCCCCCCTGCTAATTTGTATTACAGAGATTATTATCCCTTCAGTTTCTACCACTAAGGCCTCTGACAGGCTTACTCCAACTTGTTACATTCCAACCTAA